TCTGTTCCCCTCCCCAGTGTGGTAATATTCTTAGTAGTTTTTAGTAATAAATCTGTTTTGAAACTTAAGTTATTCAGCCTGTCTGACCATTTTCTGGAGTATATACATATTTTTCTCTCAATTATGTTATGTTATCTAAAAGCCATAAATTTTAGTGTTAATTGGGCTTATGCTCTGCCTTCTGCCTCTCTGGTGGGGGGGAGGGAGGGAATGTCGTGGGTGCGGTGCTTCCAGCTTTCAGTCAAGTTCAAACCACGACAYTTTTTGGTGCCATGACTTGGACAGAGAAAAAATCGGRTTTAAACCCACAACAGGGAGGGAAAGAAAAGCTTCTCATAAGTAAACAGGAGAGGAAAGAGAAATTATTAATGGGAATTATTTCAGAACTTTGCACTAAAACCCACCTGATTTAAATGAGCAGTTTTGCKGGTGTGTTTTGTCATTTTTTTAAGGGGTAATTAAAATTGACTTCCCCTATCTTGCTGATATTTTTAATATTTAACATAACTCTTTCTTTCTGAGCAAGAGGAAAACAAATGAACATACCTTCCTTGAGATTCCTAGTCATACTACACATTCTGTAAACACTTCGATATATTTCTCATGAAGCATCTCAGATTATCCCAAGACACTGCCATTTACCATTAAGCACAAGTTTCAATTTGCTCAGGTTGTAAGGCAATCATGACCCAGAATTTTCACAAGAATACATCTCCTATGAAATGGAAGGTTAACCTTTTGCAGCCAGGAATATCACATTTCTTTCACCATAAAAATTTTGGAAAYAAAGTGTAACACACAACTAATTATTAACAACTTCATCAGTGTCTATGCATTCATTTAAACCAGTACTGCCTGAACTGAAACTATTCTGAACACTGTTTTGCCTTAAACCATCTTTCACTCACATTTGGCAACATCCTGATAAACCAGAAATGCAGTTTGTTTGGCTGTAATAAAGATGCTTGTAAAAATAGCTTAATGTTAATTAATTTTTATAGTTTTTGCAGAGTATCAGGCAGAATTTACAATGTCATGCAGCAATGAAAGAGAAAGTGTTATGCAAGTCTATAAACAATGAGAAAACAGCAGGGAAAGGGACATCAGGGAGAGAAAAGGGGAAGAAAAAAATCAGAAAAAATCTACCATTAACTGAATATTCAGAATTAAACTAAGCTTGTTGACACGGTTTGCTTTATTCTAAATTGACTCACCTTTGACCTGCTGGTAGGACACATAAATACATCAAGACCTGATAGTTGTTGGGAATTTTCACTGCCAACAGAGCTTTTTCTTATCTGTCATTCATTATGATTACCTATATTCATTCAAAGCCACCTAACTCATGCCTCTTCACAGCATGGCTGGAAGCTCCTCCTTTTTTTTCACCCATTTTTTTAATGCACACTATAATGATCCAGGGCAAAGTTGGGATGCACCTTCATTTAATGGAACAGGTAAAGAAGGAAGAAAGCATTAGCACGTAACATCCCTAAACCTCGTGCCTACTCAGCCAGACATAAACTAGAGTGAGATTACACAGCATCAGTTTTTCTGTTTTTCACTGGGCTGGAGAAGAGCAAGAGAGAGAAAGAAGAGGAAAGGAAGTATTCAGCAATATTTGCAGTCAGCTGGGATGAAAAGGAGGAAAAAAAGGCCGCCACCAAAAATAGAGTTACCATCTAAAGGTAAGTTACTGCCTAACAGAAAAATGTATGTAGAAAAGCATTAAGTATTTCATGTCAGACCACAGCCAGCAGACRTCTCTGATCTATTGTGTTCATCTCAAGCAGAGGCATGACAGCTGTTTAATGCAGATCTGGCAATCTCTTTCCTTTGGGCACAATTCTCATAAACACATACATCTCAGACAAATCTGTTTAGCACTTTGATAACAAAAATTATAGGCCCCTTTAAACTTAAGCCAACCTAAATATATTCTTTAGTTCAAAAAATGCATTTCGCCCAGACTAATAAGAAAACCAGGTTGGTGCTATTAATGTAACAGTTGCAGCAACCGTCATCATCACCATTATTATTATTATTATTATTATTATTATTATTATTATTATTATTATTATTATTATTATTATTATTATTATCTTACTGTTCCAACTTTTATCATTTTCTCTGATGCTGAAAATACGTAAGCTGTGGACAATAGGAACTGGCCACTCTTAGCACATCTGCAGTGTCAAAAAGGAATTTCATTGTGGCAGCTTTTTCTAATTTTAACCATAAGCAAACGTGCACCTTGGCAAATCAATGCATTGCTGCCTCACAGACTTTATGCTAAGAACAATGCTTTGAACCTCAAGTGGTCTTCAAGACTGAAGCACTTTCGGAGCTGGTGGGCTGATTGTTTATACGGAATAGAAACCTTCTTTGAACCAAGGATATACAGTGTCTCYAAAACACACAGGTAAGATTACAAATTTCCTGGGCTTCCACCTCTCGAGTACTCTTTACACAGCCTCKCTCAAACATACCTTTTTAATTTTCCCCTTTTTCTATCACTTCCTCTCTCCTTACATTTCTCCCTAAATGAAGGTTCTCTGGCTCCCTTCCAGATGAAGCATAACTCRTTTTCTTTCTCTTCTGATGTCAGACAGAATAAAAACTGTGTTTTCATGAGCTTTTCAGCATTTCATTCATCTTATCTCCCAGTATCAAAGTACTTCTCTTGTAAATGAAAAGGGTGAAGATTAGCAAAATTACTCATTTATGGCAAGAAGGAGACCTGTTGTACAACTGCTGGGAAGTTTCCTTAGAATGAATCTAAAGAAACTTCTGATTTCTCACATTTTCAATTCACAACCTTTCACTGTTTCTCAAGAAATAATGCATTATTTTGGAAAGGTGACAACCTTTCAGCCGTATGTTTCACCAGGGATAAGGAAACAAAAACTGCACAGGAATTACAGATTTTTTTTTCTGAATTCTTCTCTTGTCTATTGGCAGAAATAATTCCACAAGCAGAAGGAGATGGGTTTTTTCCCTTGYATTCCCAATCACAATAAGCATACTAATGAAAGCAAACAGAATCCTTTTTTTTTCAATTTTGTGGAAAGCTTGGTTAAGTTTGAAGCTTTTTTCAAAATCTTCAAAGGTTTCCTTTAGCAGGAGTCCTGTGCTGGAATGAACACCCAAGTGTTCCAATATGCTAAGGAACGCCCGGCCCTCAGTGAGCGGGGTCTAACTGCATCCATAGCCCGAGGCGGCTCTGGGTGCCCCGGGTCAGGCATTCTCCAGCTCCTGGCYCTTCTCCTCACTTGGGACACTGCCCATA